TGTTTCTGTCTGTGTGTGTGTGTGTGTGTGTGTGTGTGTGTTTCTCGTGTGTGTGTGTGTGTCTCGGTGTGTGTGTGTTGGGCGGTAGGAGGAGGAGGAGGAGGATGAGGCTCATGCTGCTGATGAAGAGCAGAACTGTGGGACTGACGGCACGAGAGCGGCCACATATAAGGTCAGAGGTCACACTGTTCTGTCTTCATCTGATCCATCCGCAGCTCATCTTCATCTTCATCTTCATCAGCACTTCTTGCGTTCATGAGCGTGAATCATTCAGTCCAGTGTTATTTCAGTCTCTCTGAGATACCATTATAGGTTTTGTCAGTATTTTGAATACATTTTTTAAATATATTTTCTGCTTTCATGTTAATTTGAAAGTTTTAGTAAATTTGTTGTTTTTGTCATTTCTAGTGTTTTTTTTTTTTTTTAAATGTCAATCGAATTTTTATTTTTGTTTAGTTATTTCAGTTCATCAATTTAATTAAAATGTTGCCTTGGAAACGAGATGAAATAAGTTTTTTTAATTTTATTTTAAGGAATGGATTTTTTTATGGTTTCATTGAACTATACAAACCCTGTGTTCATCAGCTCTATGAAGATCGTGAGGTTTAAAAGACAAAAAGTGCAAATAATTGAGTAGTTTTTGAAGAAGCGTGTGGAAGTGGCGTGATCTTCAGTCTGCAGCAGAGGTGAGGGACTCCAGTCACAAATTTAAGGGCTTGTGACTTGCTTGACTAAATAAAGAAAATGACTTGACTTGAGATCCAGTGACTTGAGACTGGACTTGATTTGACCTTCATGACTCGGCAGGACTTGACTTTATAACAACTCTAATTATTATTATCATAATTCATTGAGTAAACAAAACGCAAGCCACTGAACGAGTGGCAGAAGTGATCCGAGTCTGCGCAGTTCATGACACTGCACGAGCACAGTCAGGAACACAGCGCGCCAAACACAGGGAGCAAGAGAATCTCCCGAGATGTTCGGAGAAACTCTTCGAAACTATGCATTTGCTGTATGCATTTACAAAGCCAGGACGTCGGCACAAATGTAAGCTTGTTCGTTAGTTGAAAACAGCATTGGTCTTAAAATTCAGCTTAAGCCTGTCATTAAATGAAAGTGATTATAAAAGATTAATCTCATGTTTGTAATTAATTAACGATGTCAAACTTTAGA